GAGTCAAGCTATTTTCCAAGGCGCCTGAAGGCAGGACAAGAAGCAACGGATGGAAACTAATCAAGGAGAGAAGCAACCTAGAACTAAGGAGAAACTTCCTGACAGTTAGAACAATTAACCAGTGGAACAACCTGCCTCCAGAAGCGGTGAATGCTCCAACACTGGAAGTTTTTAAGAAGAGACTGGACAGCCATTTGTCAGAAATGGTATAGGGTTTCCTGCCTGAGGAGGGGGTTGGACTACATGACCTCAAGGTCGCAACTTTATTATTGTTGTTGTTGTTGATGATGTCTTTTATTGTTGTGCTATAAGACACTCAAGATATTTTGATAGAGTGGCTGGATATAAATATTTAAAATTAAGAGTGCCTGCAGAAAAGTGATTTGCTGCTATGGCAGATGATTTTAGGTACTGAATGCTAACTATACTTCTCAGGACTGTGTCTGCATAGAAAATGCCGATACCCTTCTTCTCAAAGCACCCAAAGATTCCTTTACGATGAGAAACACCGAGCGAGGAATTGGCCAGGCAGTGCACAAATTCACCTTCACCCAGGTGTGTTTTTTCATTTAATGTTATGGTGCTCCTCTTTCTCGGACCTCTACTGAAACCAGTAGAGATTGTGATGTTTAAAACTCTTTTGGGGGTAGAGAACTCATGGAGAAATGGGGATTAATTCCTGATAATTTGATGTAATTAACCATACATCTAGAGAAATCCTACTCTGTATGAGCACGTTATAACCCTTATCATTTGATATTCAGATCTTTGGGCCAGAGATAGGCCAGAAAGCATTCTTTGATGCCACAATGAAGGAAGTGGTGAAGGATGTCCTCAGTGGGCAGAACTGGCTTGTATATACCTATGGAGTCACTAATTCAGGAAAGACTTATACAATCCAAGGTAAGCAGCGCTTGGTGTACAATGTTCCAGATAACCTCTGATTAATAAGGGTCCCTCATTTTGACTGTTGCTTCTTTGTGCTTGGCTTGAAGGAAATGGTACTGACAGAGGGATCCTACCCCGTTCCCTAGTCATCATATTCAACAGTATTGGGACACGGTTGTACCGAGCCACAGACCTGAAACCTTTCCTATCAAACATAGTAAATTGGCTGGACAGCAAACAGATTCATCAAGAGGAAACCAAGAAGCAGGCTCTAATCTATGGTGGGATAAAGGAGGTAAGTGCCTCAAAGCCCATAAGGGCAAGGAAGAGGATGAGCTGGTCAAAATCCCTGCTGTAATTCTTCTTTTTTGGATTGGCAGGAGGAACTCTTTACTTCTTTGAACAAAAGTCACAGAACAGCATCCCAGTCACAAGCACCCACAAGTGGTAGTATTGACAGTGGCATTGGTGGACTCTCCTCGGTTTGCCAGTCGACAAACCAGATGAACTGGAGCCAGCTGGAAGGTACGTGCTGTCATGAACCTTGGTTCTGGGGCAATTTTATTTTCCATAGAATTGAAAAGCTAAGCACTATAACACCTCAAAACTAAGAATAATAAAACCTTCAGCAGTAAGAAATGCAGTAAAAAGACATTGAGAAACAATGGAATTCAAGAGAAGCATCTTAATCAGAACAATATAATAATAATAATAATAATTTAATTTATATACCGCCCTTCTCCCGCAGGACTCAGGGCGGTGCACAGCATATTAAAACAAGTACAAATACAAAATACAAAAAATATAAACCCCTATAAAACCAAATTAAAAACCAAATATTAGAAGCTGTATTTCCTATTAAAATTATTCTTAAAATCATCCCTAAGTAAAATTCTCCCTAGGTCAGGCCCGCTTGCTGGAAAAGCCATGTCTTGAGGGCGCGGCGGAAAGTAAGGAGATCCGGAATCGTCCGGATCTCGGGGGGGTAGCTCGTTCCAGAGGGTGGGGGCACCCACAGAGAAGGCCCTCCCCCTGGGGGTCGCCAGCCGACATTGTTTGGCCGACGGCACCCTGAGGAGACCCACTCTGTGGGAGCGTACCAGTCTATGGGAGGAAATCTGTGGCAGAAGGCGGTCTCGGAGGTAACCAGGTCCGATGCCATGGAGCGTTTTAAAGGTGGTAACTAACA